GCACCTGAACATATAAAATGTTACCGACTCTAAGTCTCTTCGAAGATCATCTTTCTCGATCCATCAACATCAAAAATATCCATTCGCAACCACAATTACTACACAATCACTTACTCTTCTTGATTCTGAACTCTTTGACAAGACATGAGAATTTAATTTGCCCCAAAGTTTAACAACCTGAAAGATCCTTCAAAACATTCACACTCGAGACCGTACATCACATCAAAACGAAAATCAAGCGCCTAATGGCCTTCCTTTACATTTCAAGGAAACACTTCTCGTCACATTCAAATCGTCTTAACACATCCCACAGTTACATCATACTCATCAAAAAACCATTCCACTGCTCATCGAGCCACGAATTCCACTCGTAGGGGCATTACCGGACATATGAGTCCAAATGTACAGGTTACAACTGAAGCTACCGAGCCAAAACTTCGGTTTAAACCTGGCCTCAAGTCCTCCGGACTAGCCCATCAACAAAACACATAATACACATCTCGAACCTCTTTCATAGAATCACAAGTCGGCGATGCACAACTGATACCGAGCGCTCATGTGCGCATATGAATGCGTGGAAGGAATTCAAAGAGTTATGTTTCAAGCTGAATTAATTTCGCACGATAGAATACAAGAAAGTGAAATTTTCCTAAGGGTTCTGCAGCCTCTCGAAGATAAGTACAGACGTCTCCGTACCGATCCGCAAGACTCTACTAAACCCGATCATGACTTGTGAGACCTATGTAACCTAGGCTCTGATACCAATCTATCACGACCCAAACTATCCCCTGTCATGATGGCGCCTATCGTGGAACTAGGCAAGCCGACTAATTTCCAAAATAAACCGATATTTTCATTTCAAAGATAATTTTAATGTTATTTAACATAAAACCCTTTGTAAAGGAGTTCAAAACAAAATAAAAGTGTGGAAGGAAAAGCCCGACATCGGAGTGTCACTAGTCATGAGCATCTACTACAATCTGTCTAATAATGTCAAGGCTAACTCAGCCTGAAAAATAGCTAAATACAACTAGAGGAAGATAAGAGGGAGAAGGGCAGGGGCTGCGATCGCCAAACAACTACCTTGCTATCTCCGAGAAAATCTGCAACCAGAACAATCAACAACCGCTACCGTGTCCAACTACACCTGGATTTGAACACAAGGTGCAGGGAGTAACGTGAGTACGTAAACTCAGTAAGTAACAACAATAAATAAAAACTGAGCAGTAGTGACGAGCAATAAAGCATATAACATTCATATCATGAAATCTCAGTAAAATACCTCATGCTTTTAAAATCAGGATTTGAATCAAAATATCTCGTTTAAACCCAGTTCTAGTAAAAAAATCATTTAAGGATATTTTTCAACAGCTCTCAATCAGAGGAAAAATGCAAAGGTGTGCAAAAAAATTTAAATCATAAGCAGCCCCTCGGGCAAAGCATCACTCATATACAGTCCCTCGGGCAAAGCATCACTCATATACAGCCCCTCGGGCAAACCTCTCAGCACTCGGCACTCAGCACTCGCACTCAGTAGGTACCTGTGCTCATTGGGGGTGTGTACAGACTCCGGAAGGGCTCCTTCAGCCCAAACGCTATATCAAGCCAAATCATGGCATAATCACTCAGGCCCTCGGCCTATATCAAACATGCTGCGGGGTGCATCCCGATCCCATAAATATCCTCACAAATTAGGCCCTCGGCCTCACTCAGTCATAAACCTCTCAAGCCACTCGGGCATTTCAGTAAAAATAGGGTGCTCAGCCCAAAACAACATTTATATTCATCAAAATCGAGTAATAAAACTGAGTTATGCAGTAAACAGGTATAACCATGATTGAGTATAGATTTTCAATCGAAAACAGTGAGAGGATAGTAAGAAAAGGCCCCTAAGGGTCCAAACAATACTAGTACAAGGCCCAAACATGGCATTCAGCCCAATTAACAGGAACTCTTTCTAAAAACACATAAGTATCATATAATTTCCACAAAATATGCAACTTTACAGTTGCTACGGGACGGACCAAGTTACAATCCCCAACAGTACACGTCCACACGCCTGTCACCTAGCATGTGCGTCACTTCAAAATAGTAGAATGATACGAAATCTGAGATTTCATACCCTCAGGACTAGATTTACAATCGTTACTTACCTCAAACCGGTCAAATCTCTACTCCGCTCTGGACTCGGCCTCCAAATACTCCAAATCTATTTACAATCAGTACAATACCATAAATATATGCTAATGAAATGAATTCCCCAAGAAAAACTATCAAATTAGACCAAAATCCGAAATTGGCTCAAACCCGGCCCTTGGGCCCACGTCTCGAATTTCGACAAAATTTACAAAACTAGAAAGCTCATTCACTCACGAGTTTAACCATACCAAATTCATCAAAATCCGACATCGTTTGGTCTCTCAAATCCTTAAATTAAACTCTTAAGAATTCTAAGCCCTAACCCCCTACTTTCACTCCAAAATCCTACTAATTAATGATGAGCAAAGCCATAGATTCACAAACTTTATACCATTATGGGTTAGAATCACTTACCTCAACGTTGCTCCTTGAAAACCTTCAAAAAATCGCCTCTCTCCCGAGTTTCTCAAATCCAAAAATGGAAAATGAAGACAAAACACATGAGCTGGGGCTTTTTCTGCCCAGCACTGTCGCACCTGCGACCATATGTCCGCTCCTGCGGAACTGCACCTGCGGTCGAATCCTCGCACCTGTGAGAACCACTTACGCCCTCAATTTCACACCTGCGACCCCAGGTTCCGCACCTGCGGGCGCACACCTGCATAACACTTCCGCTTCTGCGGAACCGGCCCAACTCTTCCTTTCCACATCTGCGCTCAAGGCCTTGCACCTGCGGGCTCGCAGATATGGCCAATTCTTCGCACCTGCGTTCCCGGCCTTGGCTTTCCATTTCCGCATCTGTGACTTCTCCAAACGCACCTGCGACTCCTCCTTCCGCACGTGCGGAAATAGCAGTAGCAGCAGCTTCAGCTGCATTTTCCAACTTTGACAAATCCGCTAACCACCCGAAATCACCCCGAGGCCCTCGAGACCTCAACCAAAAATACCAACAAGTCATATATCAACATACAAACTTAATCGAACCTTCGAATCACTCAAAACAATATCCAAACACCAAATTACCCTCGGATTCAAGCCTAAGAACTTCTAAATTTCTAAATTCGGCAACCGATGCCGAAACCAACCAAACCACGTCCGAATGACCTCAAATTTTGCACACATGTCACAAATGACACTACGAATCTACTTCAACTTTCGGAATTCCATTCCGACCCCGATATCAATTTTTCCACTGCTGATCGAAATCACCGAATTTTTAACTTTCGCCAATTCAAGCCTAATTCTACCACGAGCCTTCAAATTACATTCCGGTCGCGCTCCTAAGTCCAAAATCACCTAACGAAACTAATGGAACCATTCACACAAGTCCGAAATACCTACAATCCAAAACCGATGATTCACACAAGTTAAAGCACATCATACGGAGCTACTCATGCCCTCAAACAACCGAACGAAGTGCAAATATTCAAAACGACCGATCGGGTCGTTACAATGTGCTTCTTATGTGTATTTCATTTGACAATTATGTTACTTCTTATAATATTATTTTGAAGAGGTTAAGGTTTTGTTCTCTTTTTATAGATAGTTACAATTTATTCTATTGTACAATATTAAGTTCAAGAATAATTATTTTTTTCCACTTTTAGAAGCCCATGAAAAGTACAATATTTTAGAATTTAAAGGCCTTCCTTTGAGGTGACTGCTTCACCTTACATTGCTAAATTGATTGGATAATTAGAATCGAAAAAGGTCAAAGAAAGTTCTTAGATATTAATGTCAAAATTTTAAACATCTATATAATACTTGTGTGTGCAATTGTTGGATCAATAGATGATGTAATTTAAGTTAAGTTCTTTCATAATTAAAAATCACTCCGATATAATTCAATCATTAATAATAATAATTTATTGATCATCGGTAATTATCATTCTTTTCTTTATTACTAGTTAACATATTATATGGGGTACATAGGCTACACTGTATACAAAGTGCTTGTCAAAAGTAGGTTTCTTTTTATCCAAGTTAGTAGTATCCTTTATATCCATTATGCACAATTGTGTAGAAGTTAGAACTTAGAAGCATTCATGATGTATACAAAGTATATACGTTCTATTACGATTTGTGCATTATAAAATAATGTGCTACATAGCCCAAACTAATACTAATCTGCTGATCTTCTGGCCAACACATCAACTACATGTAATTAATATATCGGTTGACTATTCAATCACCGTCTAATTATTATACTCATGGACATCACCAATTTTAGGAATATTCCAAACTATGCATGGAAGACGAAGATACATCAGTTTTACAAATTAAAAGAGTAAAAATTAGGAAGAAAAATAAAAATAGGGTTCCCTAATGATGAATGTATTTTTGAATTCCAGTACCACTATAAAAAATATGTTAAATTGTGGCGGTTTATTTATTGGGGTTATACAAAACCCCCACTATATATTTATTTTGTGGTGTTTGTGCCAATCCCCACAAAATAATTCTTTTTTGTGCCAGCTTATTTGTGAGGGTTGTAGAATACCCCATTATATATTCTATTTGTGGCGCTTTTGTTCTAACCTCCACAAAATTATCTTATTGTAGGGTTTCTTTTGTGAAAGTTTTTGATAACCTCCGCATATACATTACTTTCAGCTATTTGAATATGAAATGAATTACTCTTAAATTTTGTGAGTTTGTTCTATATTTTCCATTGCGGAAAAAAGGAAGTTATTATTGGTAAAGTATTTACTTATCGGAACAAATTATTTTTTGGATTGTGACCTAAAATATATTTAATTCTTTCTAATTTTAAATGAAAACAAGCGCGGCAATATTTCCCTCGTTTTTATTCCATTTCCCCCCAACATTTTCGTCTTTTGTTTTTCACTTGCACTCACTTTCCCCAAATACCATCAACCCTAATATAATCACCCTAAATGCTCAATAGCGCGGCCAGAAAAAACCCAAAAAAGTCTGCTTTCAATTTATTTCGGGTTGGTTGCTTGATTAAGCTTGAAGCCATCCACTGATATGTTCGTTGATTAGTGTTTGAGTCGGGAAGTTCGAATGGGGGTTGCTTAATTAAGGCTGGAAGTTGTAAGTTCCTTCCCCTTTAATTTCATTTGTTTCTAGTTTAGGGTTTTGATTCTCTTATAGCTCTGGTTAATGCTCTTAAAATAGGAGGTCGTACCTCGGGTCAGCACTCCCTCAAAGCAAAATTAGGGCTCAATTTCATGCGAAGTCATCACTGAATTCTCAAGAACCTGAGTTTTCCATGTTGTATTGGAGTATAATATTTCAGTTTTCGCGATAAATTTTAATTTCAATATTCACTAACTTTAGTAGTGTATTTTGGTGGTTTATGGTTGAACTTGTTATTGGTATTTAGGTTGAAGAATTTGAGGAAAAGAAAATTTCCCATGGAAAAGTCACAGCTATAATAGTTATCTCAACTGAAAACCTTTTCCACTATAGTTTTGTAGTTTGCTTTATTAGTTTGAGTCATTAAAATAGCTGCTTCCAATTTAGTCTCTTTAAAAGCAAAACAGAGACCTATGCTTGGTAAGAAAAGTCCAGTAGCATCTGAAGTTGGCATGTGTATGGTGGCATCTGCAGTATGTAGGTGTATAGTGTGTGCGGGTGAATAACTTAACAGAGGAGCATTTGAAATTGTTTTGTAGCAATCAACTGCTTCAGAAGCTCTGCTAAATTGGCAATTATCTCTAAGAATTATAGTTGAAGTACGATAGAAGTACCATCAAATTGTTATGTTGTAGTTTTAGAAAACTAAATATGTTAATAGTAATTCGATAAACATGACATCTGTCTGTTTTGCATTCTTCTTCATGATGGTTATGTTGGAGTAGGTTTCTGTTATTCGATGAAAGTGGCACTTACTATAAGAAGCAAAAAAGAATAAGATCAACTACTTGATGGTTATGTTGAAGTAAGTTTCTGTTATTTTCTTGCACACCCTTTCGTAAATGACAAGCTTGTGCATTGTTTTTCATTAGATGTGCCTATAGCGTTTTAGATGTGCCTTGGTAAGAAAAGTCCAGTAGCATCTGCAGTTGGCATGTGTATGGTGGCATCTGCAGTATGTAGGTGTATAGTGTGTGCGGGTGAATAACTTAACAGAGGAGCATTTGAAATTGTTTTGTAGCAATCAACTGCTTCAGAAGCTCTGCTAAATTGGCAATTATCTCTAAGAATTATAGTTGAAGTACGATAGAAGTACCATCAAATTGTTATGTTGTAGTTTTAGAAAACTAAATATGTTAAATAGTAATTCGATAAACATGACATCTGTCTGTTTTGCATTCTTCTTCATGATGGTTATGTTG